TCGAGATATTGACCAACTTAGTTTGTGTTATTGGTCAAGCTCCAAAAACTCTGGATCCTACATTTGTTCTGATGCAAATCTGTAATGGGGATGTCAATAACTGCAAAATATAAAGGAGTATCTTTGGCAGTCTTTCATGTTTTATAGAGGCCAGTGCCAACCCAGGTTCCTATGTGGACATAGAAATGAATTAGACAAATGTAAATTGTTGTATGATTTATAAATATGCTGCAAATGTCATTTATGGTTTTACATCCATCCATCATGTCATCTTATGTCTGCTGCTGTAGAAACAGAGAATAATGGGACTCGACCATCATCACTGTGAGTACACCTTCACAACATTGCATTATTTACAGATTCATGAGAGAGCTGACCCTAGCAAGAGCCCACACAACTGTGACCAGTGCATACAAGCTTTTGGTCAGTCAAGCAAGGCTAAAAATCCATCAATGTATTAATGTATTAATTCTGGGGAAAACCTGTACAGCTGTAACCCATGTCAAAAACCATTTGGTAATTCAGGTCACCTAAAAGCCCATCAGATTGTTCACACTGGTGAGAAACCATGTCGATGTGGCCAGTGTGGGAAAACCTTTACAAAGCTGGAGCATTTAAAGGTCCATCAACATGTTCAGACTGGAGAGAGAACCCATCAGTGCGAACAATGTGGGGCAGCTTTCACACGTTTATATAACCTGTTCACACTGGTGAGAAACCATGTCGATGTGGCCAGTGTGGGAAAACCTTTACAAAGCTGGAGCATTTAAAGCTCCATCAACATGTTCAGACTGGAGAGAGAACCCATCAGTGCGAACAATGTGGGGCAGCTTTTACACATTTATACAATCTAAAAGTTCATCGGCGTGTTCACACTGGTGAAAAACCGTACAATTGTGACCAGTGCGGTAAAACTTTCACCCATTCATGTGGCCTAAAATCCCACCAACGTTTTCACACCGGAGAGAAGCCGTATATCTGTGGTCAGTGTGGAAAGGCTTTTGCTCAGTCAAGTCATCTAATAATCCATCAGCGGGTTCACACTGGGCAGAAGCCGTACAGTTGTGACCAGTGTGATAAAACTTTTGTTCAGTCAAGTGACCTTAAGAACCATCAATGTGTTCACACTGGAGAGAGACTTCATTGGTGTGAAAAATGTGGGGCAGCTTTCACAAAATTACGAAATTTAAAAATCCATCAACATGTTCACTCTGGACAGGATGACCAGGACCAGTTTGATAAAGCTTTTACTCAGTCAAGTCACCTAAAAGCCCATCAACTTGTTCACACTGGAGAGAAGCCATACTACTGTGACCAGTGTGGGGAGACTTTCACAGACTTGGGGAAACTAAAACACCATCAGTGTGTTCACTCTGGAGAGAAACTACAGCTATGACCACCGTGGGAAAGCTTTCATCACATGAAAGGAACTAAATGTTCATCAGCACATTCACACTGGGGAGAACATGTAAATCTGGGGTCACTGTCAAAGTTAGTTTAAATCAAGCAGCATAAAAATCGATCACTGCACATTTTACATTTCTGAACAGGACATGTACACAGGTCCAAAATTCTAGAAAAAGGTAAGCATTTTGACTTGATGATTGTTTGGGTAAACTATTGGAGTTGGGTTCAAGTTAGCTTTTCTCTGCCCTGCTTTCTCTTTGATTTGAGAAGACAGTTCTCAGTACCTGCAAAAAGATCTACCAGTAACGGAGAGATGGTGAGAGATGGCAATTTATCAAACTCTTACTGAACAAGCAAACACACACTGTCCCTGTGGCCAGCTGACCTGTTCCCCTGTTCAGCCCACACAGTTTTCTAATTGTAAAGAAGTGCTGTGAACAAGAAGAAAACAAAGTGTAATTTTATGTTGATAATTATTGAGTCTAATAAGTTTTATATGTCAGAATGAGTTGAATTCTTGTGGACTTGGATTTTGAGCCCAAGCAGCTCCTCTACAGCAGGATCTGTCCATCAGAGAGAAGAGGACAATGCCACAAACAGTCCGTAATTCTTAAATGTCCTGGAATAAGACTGGTTAACTGTAAAGAAATGGATCTATTTTGATCAAAAGGACACACTTGATAATTGTTCAGCCTGTATTAGAGATGCACTGATTGCAATTTTCTTGGCTGATTCAGAATTTTAGATCTGACCTGCCGATTCACATTTTTTCTTTCTATAAACTGACAGCAGATTTTTGAAACGTGTCTTGGATGAAAATTTAAGTTGTAGTAAAAATAAAACATTGTATTAAATAAATCTTACATTTTCATGGCCATTAACGATGTTGCTAAAGCGTTTTACTTCCAGGTACAAATATATAAATACATTAGTAAGCATCACAACTAATTAAAAATCATTTATATAGGTAGTTAAGTAAACTATTATAGAATGACAACAATATGGAAAATTTAGCAATATACACTAGAAAAAATATAAATCAAGAAAGTGGCAGAGAAAACTCTGGGATCTGTTTCAGGTCAGTAGTTAAAGATGAATTGTGTTGTGCTGGTTGTCTCTTAGGCTGTGACATGTACAGACAAATTTAACGGCTAATATGGAACTGGCTCTGTTTTCTCCTTGTATGTGCTGTCATTCAAGTTGATCGGGAATTGAGTCAAAGTCTGGGATTTTACATTTATTTGTGCAAAGACCTTTGTTCTTATATGTTTGTATGTGTTACAGTTATGGCCATTTTTTGTTTAAATAGAGAGAGTTTGATTTTATTTGTCATTTTTTGCACTATGAATCAATGTGGTCGATGGTGACTTATCAGTCAGAGAAGCTGAATACATTCAGATGATATTACAGGCAGTAGGAAATATTTTAACAATTTTCAACTAAGGAAATGTCTTTGGATGATTATGAATTTATTTATGTAGTTTTATATCAGATCAAGCCTGGCCAGTTCATATACTGCATCAAACTGATATGATGGCCAATTTACAGGAGAAGTGCCACCCATATACATAAATTTTCATGCAACATATTTGAGTAATGGGCTTCAGAGATTAACACAGATCAGAACATAGTCTAGTTAAAACAACGATGGGTGGACTTTAAGAACAAGTTAAAATGTTTAGTTTGATGACATTTTATTATTGGATCTAACAGGATGTGAGTGCTTCTGTGACTTTCTGTACAGACATAAGGCTGGTGGAAAGCTCCTACACAGTCCATCTTGACTGAGGCTTTTTGTCACCGCTCCCTGCTGCCGCTGCCTGCTCTTGTTACCAGGTGAGACACAGTCTTTGTATACAGTCAACGGTCGTGGTGAATCTCAAATGAGCCTACTTTCTCAACCAAAAGGCAGCAGTGTCTGTCCATTGAGCAAGTGGTGCTGCAGATACAAAGGCAGTTCTTTTCAGAACTCTAGTGCCACCTGCTGGGGACTGGTAGCTCTTGCGCTTTTGAGACATGCTGAGGAATAAAGATGAATAAATATTACCATATGTGGGTGGCTGTGGCTCATGAGGTAGGGCAGTCGTCTCCTGACCAGCAAGTTGGTGGTTCGACTCCCGGTCTCCCCGCATGCCTAAGTGTCCCTGAGCAAGACACTGAACCCCGAATTGCTCCTGGTGGCTTGACTAGCGCCGGTGCATGGCAGCTTGTCGTCATCAGTGTGTGAATGTTGTGTGTGAATGGGTGAATGGTGTATCATCTCTGTAAAGCGCTTTGGCCAGTGCAACACACTGTGAGAAAGCGCTATATAAAATACAGTCCATTTTTACCATATTTTGTTTATTCTATGTTTAATTTGTTTTGGATCTAAAATTAAATATTGTTTTACTTTTTTTTGCTTTGCAGGGACACAATAGATGTGACATAAGTTCTTTATAGATTTGGGTTTATAATCAGTAAAAGATTGTTACCACAAATGTACTGACGATTTTAACCGTGTTTTTGTGAACTATAACAAATATGGCACACTGCTCATCATTTGTACTCTGTTTAATCGATGTTTCATCAGAAAGATGAGAATACATATTTATTCTTACAGCTGATACTTTACATGAAAGTGAGAGTATTTGTGTACTTTTGGTACAGATACTTTTACTGCTGATACTTTCAATTAAGGCCCTGTGGTGGACCGGCGGCCTGTCCAGGGTGTACCCCGCCTTTCGTCCGATACCGGCTGGGATTGGTAAGCGGTATAGAAAATGAGATGAGATGAGATGAGACTTTTAACTAAAAGAAGCTGCAAATATGTTAACGAACTGCTAGTGACTGCGAGAACATAGAAGTGCATGTGTTTTTGTGAACTATAACAAATACTGCACACTGCTCATCACTTGTACTCACTTTAATCAATGTTTGGGTCAGAAAGATGAGAATACTTATTTACTTTACAAGTAAACAAGTTGCATTGCCACAGTTTGTGCATGGGAATAATGACTGCCATTTAACTATGCAGTTTTCTCTTGTGAGCACAAGATAATAACACATTCAAACCATGTGTTTTTGTCTCCCCTTGTTAACATGTTTGTGCTTGTTTGTAAATAGTGTGCATAAGAGTTTCTTGGCTGATCCATTCTAATCGATGTTCTGTGGTTAAAGTACACATACAAAAGTGAACCGCCTCCTTTCAATAGTTGAAAAAGTCATATAATATAGTCATATATAATAATGACAGGGGGACAATTATGTTTTAAAACTGTGGCAGTGTTAACAAGGAAGAGGAAAGTGAATGTGCTTGTGAACAGAGAAAGGCAGTGAAGGTGCTCGTGCAGCTGCTGTAGGGGGACATTTTATTTATTTATATTTAATTTGTTAAGCAGTATTGGTTTAAGCGATTCCTCTTTTTGGGAATACGCAACTCACAAACTCACAACTCCAACACTACCCACGAATTGTGTGGAGATTCCTCGGGCTTTATATCTGTCAGTACATCGCGAGAAAATTTGAACCACTTCCGGAACCGCTACACGCAGCGAGGCTTCAAACGTCGTCGATGACGTCACTTGCCGTAAACAATATAAAGGTCGATACGCGCTTCACTAAACACTTCCTGGATTTCTCGACATACCCTTCGAAGTGTTGGCACAGCGTGTCGACAGAGAAACAGTCAAAACATGGATAATAATGACCAGGACTACTACAAAACCGAAATAAAAGAGGAACAACGGGACTCGAATTTAATCGACCAGGACCACGACAAGAGCGGAATGAAGGAGGAGAACCAGGATCCAGATTTCGGGGATCAGGGCCACTGCAGCAGTGAAATGAAAGAAGAGAAGCAGGACCCGGATTCCATTGCTCAGGACCACTGCAAAAGGGAAGTTAAAGAGGAAGACGATGACCTTGATTCCCTCTACCATGACCAGCACAAGAACGCAGGACTGCAACCGATCCAGGATCAAGATTTCCGGAGCAATGATCCCGCCGAGAGGAACAAAGCAGGGTCGTCCTCTGGTCCCAGTGATCAACAGGTCAGTGTTTATTGCTACGACAGAAATGGCGTTATAATGAGTCTAAAGACACGAGGACGAGTCTCGAGGGTTCGATTATCATCCGGTCATTCTGATTTTCGATCAGATCTGAACTGATGCAGACTTTAAACTCAGTTTTTTGATATATGTCGCATGAGCAGCTGCTGCCCATTACAGCGGTGCGTCAACATGGCCGCCATGTTGGAACAATGTGGCTTTTGTGGGCACGATGGCTGGAGGTCTCCCCACAGTTAAAATAATCATAACTCACTGAGCTGGCAGTCGATTTGTTTGGTGTGTTACAGATGACAGACAAACGTTTCCGTAATATAGAGCTTTTAACGTACACTTCATATTTATTTGACAAATCTAAGGTGGTTAGCTCACCTTTTTCATTCAAGCGCTTTAAAGGCTAATAAGTTTTAACCATACAGTTTTAAATGGAACCTTTTCCACTGTGAGAGAAAACATTTAAAAAAGCAAATCTCTGTAACAGAGGTCGAGATATTGACCAACTTAGTTTGTGTTATTGGTCAAGCTCCAAAACTCTGGATCCTATATTTGTTCTGATGCAAATCTGTAATGGGGATGTCAACTAATAATTGCAAAATATAAAAGAGTGTCTTTTGCAGCCATTTATGTTTTATAGAGGCCAATGCCAACCCAGGCTCCTATGTGGACATAGAAATGAAATAGACAAATGTGAAGTGCTGTATGATCTAGAAATATGCTGCAGATTTCATTTATGGTTTTACTTCAATCCATCCATCAAGACATCTCTCACTCTCTCTCTTCTTCTATTTGTCTCTCTGCTGCTGTAGAAACAGAGAATAATGGGACTCGACCATCATCACTGTGAGTACACCTTCACAACATTGCATTATTTAAAGATTCATGAGAGAGCTGACCCTAACAAGAGCCCACACAACTGTGACCAGTGCATATAAGCTTTCGGTCAGTCAAGCAGGCTAAAAATCCATCAATGTATTAATGTATTAATTCTGGGGAAAACCTGTACAGCTGTAACCCATGTCAAAAACCATTTGGTAATTCAGGTCACCTAAAAGCCCATCAGATTGTTCACACTGGTGAGAAACCATGTCGATGTGGCCAGTGTGGGAAAACCTTTACAAAGCTGGAGCATTTAAAGGTCCATCAACATGTTCAGACCTCTGTGTGGGATGGATTCTCCGATGCAAGCTTCAAACTTGAAACAACATTTTCCTTGAATTGCTGTTTCAAAGCTTGTTTTGATGTGGAAAAAGACACGTGACCGATGACATCCCCTGAATGAATCATGTGACTGGTTCAAACCAGTTGCCACTCAAGATGATGTACAACATGTAGGTTTGCTGTAGTGGGTGTGTGTAGTTGCTGTTCTTATCATCAGTTCTTTTGTTTGTTCACCATCATGGAGCCAGCTAGGAAGAGAAGCCATTCTCAAATGTGGGAACACTTTCAGCTGACCAGTCCTAATAAGGTAGGTGTTTTATTACTCCTTGGTTATGCTACTGCACCTGGCTGTTTATGTAACTTAGCCACTTAGTAATTTTACCTAATACTGTCAGTAAAACAAAACCAATCACCAAAACGATTAAGGTGTGAACAGCAGAGGCTTCTTCAGCATTACAGGACTGTTTTGAGCACACTGACTGGGGGGTGTTCAAAGAGGGCTCAGACTTGGAGGCTTATACATCAGCTGTTCTGGACTATGTGCAGTTCTGTACTGATGCTGTCCAACCTACAAAGTCCATCAGGTTTTTTCCAAACCAGAAACCATGGTTGGACAGTACAGTGTCACGTCTGCTCAAAGCTTGGGACGCTGCCTTCAGATCAGGTGACAGGCTGGCCTATAGCAGGGCCCGGAAAGAACTAAAGAAGGGCATCCGGCTGGCCAAACGCAGGTACAAACGGCACATTGAGGAGCACTTTATGAATAACACACAGAGTATGTGGAGAGGCATCAAAACAATAACAGACTACAGAGGCAGCAACCAGCAGGTCAGCCATTATCCCACCCTCCCTTACACTCTGAATAGTTTCTTTGCACGCTTCGATACACCTGGCCGCAGAGGAACTGTACATCTCCCTCAGCAAGAGGAGCAGCACCAGCCCCTCGTCCTGCAGCTACACCAGGTGAGCTCCAGCCTGAGGAGGATCAACACCAACAAAGCCGCAGGACCAGACAGGGTAGCAGGCCTGGTTCTGAAGATATGTGCTGACCAGCTGGCAGGAGTTTTCCTGGACATTTTGAACCTGTCCCTGCATCTTGCTTCAGTCCCTGTGTGCCTCAAGTCCTCCATCATTGTGCCTGTGCCCAAGAAATCAGCTGTCACCTGCCTCAATGATTACCGCCTTGTTGCTCTAATACCAGTAATCATGAAGTGCATTGATAGGATTGTTCTAAAGCACATAAAGGACGTCATCCCTGTTTGTCTGGACAGCCATCAGTTTGCCTGCAGAGGATGCTGTCTCAATAGCATTACACACAGCCCTGTCCCACCTGGAGTATCCTAGTCCTGAACACAGGCACACCACAGGGCTGTGTGCTCAGTCCAGTTCTCTTCACTCTGTTTACCCATGACTGTGATGCCATTCACCCCACAAACACAGTAGTTATGTTTGCAGATGACACCACTGTAGTGGGTCTCATCTCAGACAATGATGACACTCACTACAGAGAGGAGATCCAGCACCTGACAAGGTGGTGTTCAGATAACAATCTTGTCCTGAACACCAACAAGACTAAGGAAGTCATTGTGGATTATAGGAGGTCCAGGAAGACAAAACATTATCCTCTTCTCATACACGGGGAGGTGGTGGAGCAAGTGGATAGCACCAAGTTCCTGGGCATCCTGACCTGGTCTCGGAATACATCCTACCAGGTGAAGAAAGCCCAGCAAAGGCTTTTTTTTTTTTCCTCAGGAAGCTGAAACGTGCTGGTCTCTCCTCTCAGTTGCTGGCAAACGTCTACAGAATGACAGTAGAGAGCATCCTCTGTCTCGGTGCGACAGTGTGGTATGGGAGCTGCACTGCACAGGACAGAAAGGACTTGACCCGGGTGGTGAAAACAGCTCAGGGCATTGTAAGGAGTCCTCTTCTGGATCTGGACTCGCTATACACTGACCGGATCCAGAGGAGGGCTGGACGGATTGCTGCAGACCCCACCCACCAACAGTCTGTGTGTGTGTAAAGACTAAAACAAACAGACTGAGACACAGCTTCTTCCCCAGAGCTGTGAAATCAATCACCCCCCCAACCCTTAGTCACACACACACAACCTCCCCCCCTATGGACAAACACAGAACACTGGACCTCACACCTCTTCCTAAAGACTGAGATTTGCACTGAGCTGCACCTTATAATGTTTTTACACTCTTGCTGCTGACCTGATTAGGTCCTATACATCCATTTTTATTTGTTCATATTTTTATATTGACTTATCATTTACATAACACACAATTGTATATGTCTGTCTTTTAAGCCTAGAGCTGCTGGAAAAAATTTCGTTGTGCTATGCATAATGACAATAAAGATTTTTGACTAAGGCCAGTACAATAGTCTTAATATATCCATGATGTATTTGAAGTGAACATTCATTCATTCACTACCGCTTAGTCCCTGAACAGGGTCACGGGGGGGGGGGGCGGAGCCAATCCCGGCCGGCAATCGGGCGAAGGCGGGGTACACCCTGGACAGGTCGCCAATCCATCGCAGGGCTAACACATAGACGAACAACCACACACACACACGCACATGCACTCCTATGGGCAATTTTAGAGACACCAATCAACCTAAGCTGCATGTCTTTGGACTGTGGGAGGAAGCCGGAGTACCCGGAGAGAACCCATGCAAGCACGGGGAGAACACGCAAACTCCACACAGAAAGGTCCCAGGTGGGGCCCGAACCTGGAACCTTCTCGCTGTGAGGCAATGGCGCTAACCACTGTGCTACCATGCTGCCCTGAAGTCAACATTAAGTAGCATTTTAATAATGTATCTAATAATTTGTTTGTATATTGCTGTTTACACAGGTCCAGTGCTTGCTGTGTCCTCAGCTATTGGCATATAATAATAATACATCATCAATGCTGAGGCATTTCAAAGCCAAGCATGAGTGCAAGCAGGAAAACGCAGATCATGGTAGGCTATATTTATTATACACATTCTTCTACACAATGATTCATTAAACACATTACACTAACATGATATAATATAACTGTTTGCTTGTTTCTGTCTTAGTGGCCCGGAAGAAAGAGCTGGATGAGGCTCTTGTTAATATGCTGGTGAAAGACATTCAGCCTTTTTCTATTGTGGATGATCAGGGCTTCAGAGAGTTTGTGGGAAAGCTAGACCCCACATACACTCTGCCATCTAGACAGGTTCTAAAGAAGATGCTGAATGAGAAATATGAGGAGGAAAAGAGCAAAGCCAAGGCACAACTGCAGAGCGTGGAAGGAGTGAGTCTGACTTCTGAGATGTGGACCTCTGTTAATATGGATGCATATGTTGCAGTCACTTGCCATTATATGCTTGACAATGCAAAGCTGGCCACGGTACCTTTAGGAGTGCTGCCATTCCCTCAAGACCACACTGCTGAAAACATCACAGCTGCTAAGAGGGCTCTCATGGCAGAGTGGGGCATTGAGGAAAAGGTTAAATGCCTTGTGACTGATGCTACAACAAACATGACCGCCACTGCCAAAAATTTAGCTATAAGGCATGTTGTGTGCATTGCACATACACTAAATTTAGTTGTTAAAAAATCCATAGATCAAACACCTGGCCTAGAAGATCTGTGCACAAGGGCACGGAAAGTGGTGACCTATTTTCGATCAAACACTACTGCTAAAGAGAAGCTGAGAAATGTGCAACGGCAAATCAATCGTGCAGTGATGAAGCTGATCCAGGAGGTGGACACACGCTGGAACAGCACCTACCTGATGCTGCAACGCTTATATGATGAGAGGCAGGCAGTGGGAGCAGCTCTGGCATCGCTCAGAACGAAAGTTAATCCTCTCTCTTCTGAGGATTATGAGACAACAGCAGCTTGTTTACAGGTGCTCAACCCATTTTACATGGCGACAGTGGAAATGTCCCAGCAGAAGAGAGTGTCGGGGTCAGTGGTCATTCCACTGATTAAAATGTTGCTTCACACAACTCAGGAAATACTGGACAATACCACCAACGTGACAGCAAAACTGCTGGGACAGAACGTGTCTGCAACCCTCATAAATAAGTTTGACACTCTTGAGACCTCAACCATCCTGTCACTGTCCACACTGCTTGACCCAAGATTTAAAACCATTGGTTTCCGCAATCAAGACAAAGCACAACATGCAGTGCGACGACTGACTGCTGAATGTGCAGTGCTGATGAGGCACACACTGGACACATCTACTGATCATCCATCTACATCAGCTCCACCTCAACCAGCAGCACCAAATGTACAAAAACCATCCTCCACAGGTAATTTAAGTAATTAATTACTATTATACAGGAGAAATTAAGTTAAAAACATTACACAAATTGAAACTCTACAGTGCTCATTACTGTCATGTTTCTCTGTCAGCTTTTAACCTTTGGAAAAGTCTTGATGAACAAGCTACTATGGCAAGAACACACAGGAATTCCATAGCAGATGCCACTGTAGAGGTCCAGCGATACATGACAGACCCTCCCTTGGAAAGATGTGAAGATCCTCTGACTTACTGGAACGAGCACAGAAATATTTACCCACATTTGTTTTCAGTAGCAAAGCAATACTTATGTACGCCAGCCTCATCAGTGCCATTTGAACGTGTGTTTTTGAAAGCTGGGGAAGTTGTCAGCCAGAAAAGAAACCGCCTCAGTCCAAAAACAGTGGAAAAAATATTGTTTCTTAATAAAAATTTTTGAATCTCCATTCCACGTACATAATTATGTTCTTTATTATTCTGGTATCTTCCATCCGTTATTCGGCACATAACTCCAGCATACTTTCACATAGAAAGGCCATTCAGGTATCAAAATATTCAACTTTTTAATGACATGCTTGTTTGTAACATTTATACTTTTTACAGTGTTTAGCTTTTCTCAGCAAATTTTGCCCCATTCAAATGAGTCAAATGAGTCAGCATTCACTGCTGACTGTTGCACATACAGCTTCTGATGTAGCATACGTTCTCTCTTTATTATATTTTTATTATATTTCTTTTCACTTGCTCTTTTAAAGTGCCTTTAGATTGTGTACTGTTTATCTACTTTATATTTCCCTTTGTATTGTTTGGCATTCATTGTGGACAGCAAAGTAAGAATTTCATTGCACAGGGAAACTTGTTTCCTTACTGTGCACATGACAAACACTTTGACTTGACTTGACAAGCACAACCTAATTCTTGATGTATTAAGTGACACACAAAGCTTTGGTAAGGGGGATGTGAAAGTTCTCTCAGTCTAAATATTTTACCAGTTTTCATTATGCAAATGTATGGATTATTATACATTTATTTATTTAGATTCATATCAAATCAAGAGCTCTAGAGCCGTCTGCTGGGGACTGGTAGCTCTTGCACTTTTTGAGACACGGTGAGGAAATATAGATGAATAAATATTCTGTTTATTCTGTGTTTAGCCCAAACACTGATAAATGTATCAGGCTCCTTTCTTCCAGCAGCTTGTCTGGAGCAGGGGGGCACCCGGGTTGTGTTCTTGTGTAATCTTTATTTGTGGTTTAAATAAGTCAGCACTAAAATGAAGAAACACTGACTCCTTCCTTATTCAGATCTGTCCAATAAAAGAACTGGGGTATAACAACTTGGTACAGATACTTTCACTCCATAAAGCTGAGAATGCCTGTGTAGCCTACTTTTATCACTGATATTTTAACTATGAAGATGAAAATAGTCATTGTGTACTTTTACTTTTAAAGCTGAAAATATGTGTGAACATTTTAAACTGATACTTTAACAATATAAAGTTGAGAATACTTGTGAACTTTTATTGCTGATTCTGTAACTAGTCTACGTTATTCTGAGAACGTGTAGTTTTACAAAAGATAGCCTTGTTTACATACATCTGAAAATGCGCGTGTACTGCTAAAGCTTATATTTTACCTATAATAAAGCTGAAGTTACGTGTGTACATTTACGGCTGATAGTCTAAATAAACCTGAGAAGACTTACTATTACTTTTATGGGTGACACTGTAACGAGTTTAGCGAATTTCTTGTGACTGCGAGACTCTGTAAGATCGCGAGATCACGGAGGTGAGGCACAACGTGGCGATAAACACAAGAACATGGATTCCAGTGATGAAGATCACAAAACCGGAATAAAAGAGGAGAAGCTGGATCCTGATTTACTCTACCAAGACCACGACAAGAGCGGAATGAAAGAAGAGAACCAGGATCCAGATTTCGGGGATCAGGGCCACTGCAGCAGTGAAATGAAAGAAGAGAAGCAGGACCCGGATTTTTTTGACCAGGACCACTGCAAAAGGGAAATTAAAGAGGAAAACCATGACCAGGATTTTCTCTACCATGACCAGCACAAGACCGGAATAATGGAGGAGAGCCAGGATCAAGATTTCCAGAGCAACGAGCCGGACCAGCGGAGCAACGAGCCCACCGAGAGGCACAAAGCAGGCTCGTCCTCTGATCAACAGGTCAGTATTCAGGACTTAATCTATAGAAACGGCTTCATAACGAGTCTCTAGGGTCCGATTATCACCTGTTCATTCTGATATGTCACATATGGACTGAGGTAGCGTTTAGAAGCCTATGCCCAGTTCTTAGATATATCGTGGGAGCCGCTGCTATCTGTTACAGCAATGCGTCAACAGCGGCCGCCATGTTGGGACAATGTCGTGCCTCCTTATGTGTAGGTACATCATGGCTGGTGGTCTCTCCAGAATTAAAATAATCACAAGTCACTTATAACCGATTTATGATGCAAGATACATGGTTACATTAAAGATGCGGATCTTTAAGTCAAAACAGTAGTTTGTAGATTGTCTGTTACTCTTTTGTTCCATGATATAATTTTGGAAATGGAATGAATGAACAACAAGGCGCATCATTACAAACAGTAATGTTAAAAGATTAAATAATTTTTGGAAGCTACACATTTTACAAGCTACATTACATTTTATTTAAATATATTTTGCTTATTTACATTTTAACTCACTATTTGCATAACAAGTTTATAGCTAGACAATGCACAGTGTATCAGAAGGCAGAGCTGCAATGTAAGAATTACACATTCTGATAAACTAGTTTTCTCCAATTGAAAATAAAAGCACAAAGGAAATTACAGAGCTGCATTTATATTGAAATAATAGTGGCACTAACTTTGCACAGATAGCCTGGAAATGTAAGAACTAATGGAATCACTCCTTCCTTTTGTTGTCTGTCTCAGTCTTCTAATCACAGCTGCAGACAAGTGACAGGTGACTTGGCTCCTCTGTCCTCAGTGTTACTGTCCTTGCCTGTTTTTTATTGTATCTCTGGAGAACAGACACGCAAAACAAATCTATCCGAAAAACACTAACCCTATGCAGTTCTGCTTTTGTCGCTAGCATTTCAATTAATATCCTGTTAGAGCCAGAAAACCATTTCAGATCATTTAAAGCAATTTAAAACAGTAACTCGTATAATGACACAGCTTCCTGATAATTTGTTAATGATTAATAATTGTATTGTTGGAAAATTCTAATTAGCTCTGTATTGATAACTGCCCTGTCTTTAAAATTTGAGCCCCTGCACCTGATACGCTCTCTGCGTGTCCCTGATAGGAATACACTCGCTAACAGAAGTATTTGTTCAGTGTAAAACTGTATGTAATATTCTGGGTTGGTCAAAAATATTTTCATTCATTTGTAATAATATTTTTGGTATCTATGGCAACCCTAGACTGGTATGGCTCCCTTTCTCAGTAGTGGAAAACGTAATTAAGAACATTTATTCAAGTATTGCACATGAGTACAGTTTTGAGGTATCTGGACTTGAGTATTTCCATTTTCTGCTACTTTATATTTCTGCTTTACTACATTTCAGATGAAAGCATTGTTACTGCACTACATGTACTTGATAACTTTAGTTTAGTTAGTTTATTCGTGACTTTATTGATTTATTGAGGAAATTCACAAGCTACCCAGCAGTAATTGAAATTATAAGCACAAAAGGTAGTAAACATTAGCTCCACCTTTACCAGCTGCAACATTAAATGTGATGTACACAATAATGCTTCAATAACCTAATTATAATTTAATAATATGATATACATTAATGTGAAATGTGCCATTCTGCAGTACGTTTGCTATTTGAAGTATATTTTTAAGCTAATATTTTTGTACATAAGTAACATGTTGATGGCAGGGCTTCTGTTGGTACCATAGTATTTTTACACTGGCATTGCTCCTTTTACTTAAGTAAACGGTTTGAGTACTTCTTCCACCCGATGAAATAAAATGGTTGCTCTGAACGCTTGTGCCTGCTGAGCTGAACCAAATTGTCAATAGTATAACTAGTTAGCTGTGGTAATTCAGCCTAGATAGCCTAGCTAAACTGCCAACTATCTGTTGCCATCTTTTGAGCAACATTCGCCTTGTCACAGCCAAAATACCTCTATGCAAGTGAGGATGATCCACATCTTGCAATTAAACCTAAAGGTGTATACTGTGAGCCTGGTGGTGTTTGTAATTTGTCTCCTGTCGTTATTGGTTTACTCTGATGTAACTTTGACATCTCACGTAGTTGTACAAGTACGTTGTGTTACCATTGGAAGCTGCAAAACACTGCTTGCACTCTGCATGCCTCTGACTCATAACCGTTACGTTGGATGTGTTTTGAATCGGTCTTCTCTTTCTGCATACAGCTCATCACATAATGTAAAGCATTCCTGTTGCTGGTTAACACAGCTTAGAGAGGAAAAGGGGGAACTTGGTCTAATGTTACAGATCTCCCTGCAAATGTAAACATGGCAGAATCAAAATGAGGTTGCACAGGGGTCAGAATCGAGATCCAAAAAATGATTAATTGTGTAGTGATTTGGTCATAAAATGTGATCCAGTCTTTATCTGTCTCACAAATGTAGACGAACACAACGTGCTTAAACTAATACCATACAAACGATTATAATGTTTATGTCTTTATTGTCCACACATCTAAAACAATCAAAGTGCTGGGGGAGAAAGTAAGTGAACCCCTGGACTTCATAACTGTTTGAGGCTCCTTTGGCAGCAATAACCTCAAACAAGCTCTTCCTGAAGCTACAGATTAGACCTGTATAACATTCTGGAGGAATTTTGTACCATTCCTCCTCACAGAACTGCTTAAGCTCAGTCATATTCCTAAGATGTCTGATGTGAACAGCATCGTCCTTCCACAAGATCTTTGTTGGGTTGAGGTCTAGGCTCTGACTGGAACACTCCAGGTGGCAGATTTTCTTGTTTTGAAGCCATTCCGTAATAGATTTACTTCACTGTTCAGGGTTGTATCCTGCTGCATCACCCAACTTCTACTAAGCTAAAGCTGGCAGACAGCCACCATGAAATTATCCTGTGGGATTCCCTGATTAACTTGGGAATTTATTTTCCCCTCCATAATGGCTCATTAAAACATCATCCCAACAGTAAAGTAATGCACAAAAATGCAAACTCAAGTCTTCTCTCTGGTGTTTGTGTGAGAGCAGCTCAGTCCCACCCTGTTGTAAACAGGTGACAGCACTGAGAGCAGAAGAGTTAGAACCTGGTTTTAAGTGCCATTATAAGTCCACAGTAAAGTTTACATTATTTTATTTCATATTCACTTGTTTTATCTCCCATCCCGCACCACCCACCCCCTCTGCACATATTTCAAGACAAGAAAAGACCTAAGATTAAGAAGAGTTTAACAAGCCCTGGAACATGACCTTAAACATCAGTGTTCTCCTAAACCGAGATGTGTAAAGTTGGACATGCACTGACTTAATTTATCATCAAGACAGAGACAGCTTCATTAGTTGCAACCAATACTGATAAGATCACTCCTGTAGTTACATGAAGATGACAGTAAATGATAACTGTTTTCTAGCCAGCTTCAGCAGTAGAAATATAGAACGTGAGCTACTGGCTATAAATTATTCTGTTTTTATGATCTAATTAGTTTTAAAAATAATGTCTTAAAGGGACCCTCTTTCATGTGAGAGACTGTTTCTGAACTCTCCTACAGAGAGTTTAAGATATTGATTGACTTAGTTTGTGTTATGGATCAAGCTCCAAAAACTTTGGATCCTACATTTCTCCTGATGAAACTCTGCAATGGGGATGTCAACCAAATGTAAAGGAGCATCTATGGCAATCGTTTAAGTTTCTGTAAAGGCTAGTGCCATCCCATGCTCCTCTGTGGACATGCCCTTGCCCCAGGTAGAAATGAATTAGTCAAATGTAAAGAGTTACATATAATCTCCCTCTCTCTCTTTGTCTGTCTGCTTCTGTAGAAACGAAGAAGAATGGGGCTCAAACGTCACCGCTGTCACCACTGTGAAAAGGCTTTCACAACATCACGTTATTTAAAGATTCATGAGAGAGTTCACACTGGCAAGAGCCCATACAACTGTGACCAGTGCGGAAAAGCCTTTGCTCAGTCACATGAACTGAAAATCCATTATCGTGTTCATACTAGAGAGAAACCATACAAATGTGACCAATGTGGAAAAGCTTTCACTCAGTCATGTAGCCTAAAAATCCATCAACGCATTCATTCTGGAGAGAAACCGTACAGCTGTAAGCTTTGTGGGAAGGCTTTTGGTCGTTTATGTCACCTAAAAGCCCATCAGATTGTTCACACTGGAGAGAAACCATATTGGTGTGGCCAGTGCGGGAAAACGTTTACAACATCGCGTTATTTCAAGACTCATGAGAGAGTTCATGCTGGCAAGAGTCCATACAACTGTGAGCAATGTGGGAAAGCTTTTGTTCAGTTAAGTCACCTAAAAATCCATCAACGTATTCACTCTGGAGAGAAACCGTACAGCTGCGATCTATGTGGAAGAGCTTTTGGTCGTTCGAGTCACCTAAAAGCCCATCAAATAGTTCACACTGGAGAGAAGCCATATTGGTGTGATCAATGTGGGAAAAGGTTCACAACATCACGCTGTTTAAAGAATCATGAGAGATTGCACGCTAGCAAGAGCACATATACCTGTGATCAATGTGGAAAAACCTTTGCTCAGTCAAGTGACCTAAAAACACATCAGCGTGTTCACACTAGAGAGAAGCCGTACAACTGTGATCAATGCAGAAAAACTTTCACCCAATCAAGCAGCCTAAAACTCCATGAGCGCATTCACTCTGGAGAGAAACCATACAGCTGTGACCAATGTGGAAAAGCCTTTGGTCGTGCAAGTCACTTAAAAGCCCATCAGATTGTTCACACTGGAGAGAAACCGTATTGGTGTGAGCAGTGTGGGAAAGCTTTCACAGAGCTAGGGAGTCTAAAACTCCATCAACGTGTTCACACTGGAGAGAGAACCTATCGGTGCGAACAATGTGGGGCAGCTTTCACCCGTTTATGTATCCTAAAAATCCATCAGCGTGTTCACACTGGAGAGAAACCATACAACTGTGACCAGTGCGGAAAAGCTTTTGCTCAGTCAAGTCACCTAATAATCCATCAGCGTGTTCACTCTGGGCAGAAGCCGTATAGTTGTGACCAGTGCGGAAAAGCTTTTGCTCAGTCAAGTGAGCTAAAAACTCACCAACGTGTTCACACTGGTGAGAAACCATATGGGTGTGAACAATGTGGTGCAGCTTTCACACAGTCTGGTAGTTTAAAAATCCATCAACGTATTCACAGTGGAGAGAAACTGTATTGTGATTAATGTGCTTTTCTTCAGTGAAGTGACCTAAAAATCCATCGTGTTCACACTGGAGAGAAACCGTATTAGTATGACTAATATGGGGAAACTTTCAGAGACTTGGTGAAACTAAAACTCCATCATTGTGTTTGCTCTGGTGAGAAACTGTACAGCTCTACCACTGTGGGAAAGTTTCCATCACATGAAGGGAAGTAAACTTTGATCAGTACATTCACACTGCAGAGAACATGTAAATTTGAGCCTGGAGTTTGTCTACATGGAATGGACTTACACTTGTATAGCACATTGATGCACACACAAAGCGCTTTCACACTGTTAACCCATTCACCCACCAGTGGGACAGCCACCAAGAGCAACTTGGGGTTTATTGCACATAGGTTTTTGCAACTTTTCTTGAATGAAAAATTGAGCTGTAATAAGAATAAAACATCGTGTTAAAGAAGCCTTACTTTTTCCGTCTTTATCTCACTCAAACAAAGCTCCAAATAAAAGTGCTCCAGAGTTGTTTACAAAGCTCCAACTGTAAATGAAGTGTGACATTTGTACTTCTCCAAATGTAATAGAAACAGAATGTCTTTTGCATCAGTCCTAATGAACATGCAGTCCATTTTAATGTGTATGTAGTTTTGATTTGCTGTGTTTTGCCGTGAGTTTGATACATTGTACAAATACATGCATTTCAAATTGTATTGCACTCAATCATTTGCCTTAAACATTTGGTACTTGTGGGAAAAGGTTGAGACATACTATTATGCTGCACAGAAGAAAGTTAAATGTTGTGTAGAATGTCAAAGTTGTTTTGAAAACTTTGTCATTTGAATATTGAGAGAAAATGGAATATGGAGAAAAACTGTAAAAAGAAATAACAGTAGGGCTACGAGTGATACCAGTTTGCAGAATATGCTTTACTTTCATCTGTTTCCTGATTCTCACTGTGTTTGTACTTGCTGTGAATATACTGCAGAGATTATACAAAGTAATATGAATTCCTGCACACACAAGGAGATGTCTAGTTCATCATCTAGTCGTGAACAGCTACTACTAAGTGAAGATGATCTAGACCTCCCTTGTGTGCATGTCTGTAACTGTGTGCACTACAATTAATAATGATAATTAATAAAATAATGATCCCGTTAAGGTTTTTTTTTATACACAGTTCATTGATCATGTGACAGTTATCATGTGACTGATATATTTCCACAGATACCAAACATCAGTAGTGGAGAGAAATACCTAAATTCAAGTACTGAAGCTAAGTACAGTTTTGTAGTACTTTGAGTGTTTCCATTTTACATTTATTTTACTCCACTACAAATCGGAGAAAAATATTGTAATTTTTATATTTATCTGTCAGGTTCAGTTACTTTACTTAATGAACAAATATAACAAACTAATATTATCATGGATTAACCACCTTTCAGCACATGAAGTGGTATAAATGTGAACATAAAATCAGCTCCACCAGCGTCAACACTGGTGATGTTGAAACATTAATGCATCAGTAATTATAATGCGGTAATACATACCATTCTGAAATGGGGCATTGTACATTGTACTTGAATTTGATAGTACTTTTGTGGTCTTATCCACCTCCACTAACTGCATGGTAGTCACTGTTCAGAAATAGCTGCCGCATCCAGACCAGAGACCACCTTGCAAGATTGCCCGTCTTTCTTTGGATGTCTGTTGAGTCTAACAACAATTGCCTCAATCAAATGGCAAGTTTGTATATTGAGCAAGTGATATTGCGGAGGCGAGGGCACTTCTTTTTTTCACACTGTCCACCTCAGACCTGATCTGTTTCTGGGTGACCTAGACCAAGGGCGTAGGTTTGGTCTCAACACTGGCATAACAGAGAAAGCCCAGCTCCAGATCCCCCCGCCCCACCTCATCTGTGTTACTTTATGAACTGTATTTATTATTTGGTTCTAATGTATTTTTGAGGGAAACTTTAAACTTGATCTTATGAAACCAACTTGTTCTGATGTAAGTTTTTTTTTTTCCAGAATAAACTCATGACCAAATACACTGAGTTACAAAGGTTGAACATTTTGAGAATAACTTTAATGCTGATGCCTCCCTATAATTCTAAACTATGTATATTTTATAATTAGAGCCTCACCTGGAACACTGACGAAGTAGGCCTACCTGTTCTTCTCTCATCAGCCTGCTCTGCTTCTCTTTCCTGATGCTGTTGGAATAAAGTTGTCCACAAAGGACAAGACGTGGTATGGACACAATGACACATTGGAATGATCAAATATGACCTCACTCCAAAGAAAGATAATGCACACAGGTAGGGATACTGTATTTCTGTCCTCCCAAAATATTGGTAGGGACATGCCGCTTCGCCCTTATGGAAAACTACACCCTTGACCTAATCCACCCAGTGTTAAGCTTATCCTTGCGTTTGACAGCAAACACCAGTCACTGTCCACTGTTTGTGCTTGCCTTAAAAATGGATGCGTGAAAAAGAACAGACAACTAAGTCATAGGTATTCGCACAACAGGATTATCTGAACAACTACTAAAATGAAAAGTGCCTTTTTTGGTCCAAGCATGATATTCTAAATTACAAATATTTCTTACCTGTTGCAGACCTGCTAACCTGTACATGTTTTGCATAGCATGTGCACATATCTGCTTTCTGCAGTCTGCGATAATATTACTGATACTGAAAGGGATAAAATGATTTCTTCAGTGAGACATCCAAAGCAGAACACCTTACTTTGTGTGGGAAAACAAATAGCCCTGCCCTTCTTCGGATATGTAACGCTTCTTAACTGGCCATAAATTGCTTTCTTTTTCATCACTGGAAACATTTCACTCTTTTTACTTACTGTTCAAATCTGCATGATGTAATATGAACTGTTTAATGTTTGCTGTCATGATGTTTGGTAAGTATTTTTGTTGGACCTCTCTAAGCTTAGAAATGCAAACTAGAATTTCACAGTGAGTATTGGTGAAGTGTTTTTGTATCAAACCAGCAGAATAGAATTGCTGTTGTTCTAATTGTGTAAAATAATCTACACAGTATTATTGCACCACTCTACACAGTGTGGCTTTAACGTTTGTGACTAAGATATACTAGCATGTTTGTAATAAGCTTAAAATCTGTTGAAACACTGCTGTTTAACATTTTGACAAATGTTTTACTTGATTTTGGTTGTTGTCTCGGTTTGAAATATCCTTCCTGTGTATTTCTGCAGTAGGTCTTTGACCAATTTGTGAAATAAATGTTATATACCAGAACTTTGTTTACACTCTTTGTGGATGGAGGGAAAGACAGGAGGAAGAGCTCCAAAGCATCATCCTACATTATACATCCTTTGTTCAGTTTTAGCTTTTCTATCCAGTCTGGGGAGAAAATTTTGCAAATATCATGCACTACTTTTTTCTTATGAATGCACAAATGACTATAAGTTCCTTTATGATTTTCCAGCTTCTGCCCCCCACTTTGTTATTGCTGCCATCTCTGAAACAACCACTTTGTGCCCTAGACATACAAAGCTTGTCTAGACAGGGTCTGCTCTACTCTGCTCCGTGTGCCAAAAGAAAATCTTATTAACAGTGACTGGCAGGACAGTGGTTCATTCACGGGCTCCCTGTGAGTGCTGTGTGCTAAGAAACAATGAATTATACACACATCATTTGCTCTAGATGCATTTTGAACCACAGCCACCAGATGGCAAACTAGGTTTTTATTAAAACTGTTTTCATGTACTAATGAAAAGCCTTTGCTTGACAAACAGTACCATATTCTCTCAAACTGTTCAGAAGGATACAAGCCATAGAGCTATGGCAACACATCTTTAAATCACTGTTCTTCACACTATCAGATATGGATTTGAATTTGGTAAATTACCTCAGAATTCAAAATAATGACTTCATAATAAACACAACATGCCAACTCTGGATAATGTGTCCATTTCATGAAATAAAAGTCACAAAATGTAGATGTTTCTGAGATGGTCATTATGAAATTAATCTTGAAGTAGCCACTCCTGCCCTGAGGGGTAAGGACAAAACACTTAACAGAGCGACAGAAATGTTTTAATTTCTTGTTCCTCGGGTTTTAAAGAATTTTCTTTACCCTGCGATCCAGCGTGTACCGTAATCTTCCTTATAAACTCGCCTTACGTGTGTGCTCCCGCTCCCAGGAGGACCTGCATTGATCTACTGTGCGCATGTCACGGAGACTTTACGGTATTGAATTCCGTCTCTGTGCGCGCCGTGCCTGGCAGCAGGAGCTGATGGCCTTCAGATCCGTAGACGCCGACAGTGACGCGTGTGGAAGATGGTAGAAAAATCAACTCCCCCACATAATTCAGACGATCTCCGTGACGAGTTCTGGTCTCACTGGGAACGATTTTGATTCAGTGACCGAGTTTTTAGTCGCGTTTGAAACCGCGTTACTTCCGTGCGAATGCAAAGAGCCTAAGCAGAAAACAATTTCGCAACCTATTTTGCATGCGGCGTGCAGGACGCATGAAGGATGGGATATATTTTCCACCCATGTCAGGTCTTCCAGCTACTGTGCAATGCATAGCCCACATTTCTAGGGTTAATTTGCGTGGTTTTCCTATTGACTGAGGAGTGGCTGTTTTCAGCAACATCCATTTTCTCTGCAATATGTTTTGAGCGCCAATCAAGGGGCTGAGAGAGCGACAGGAGTCGTCGGGGGGCACTGCGCTGCGCAGACGAGCGGCGGACCGTCTCGTCTCCTCCACTGCAACAAAACACACAAGACAGGGGGAGGAAAGAAGGCGGCGAAGGTCTAGGGTGGAAATTTGGAGATATACGGCTTTAAAATGACGATGTCTGTCCCGGAGAGGAAATCAGGATCTGAGGGGAAGGAGGAGGAGAGCGAGGATGAGAGTGAAATCCTGGAGGAGAGCCCATGCGGCCGCTGGCAGAAACGCAAGGAGCAGGTTGGTTGGTTGGTTTGTCTGTCTGTCTGTCTGTCTTATATTTGTGCAAGTAATCTTTCTGACCAGTAAATAGCTCAGTTAATCGCCCTTTGGATTAAACTCGCCATCCGGCGTTATGCAGTGCTTCAGCCAGGCCGAAGAATTTTACTGCCTCATGGTTTTTTGCACCATTCAACCATAAACCTCACTCGTGCAGTGACGCACTGGCTGGTTTGCTTTGCCCCCATACAGTCTGTTTTAGTGGGTCCCGGTGACTAGTCGGGTCCTTGGATGCATCAGACGTTAGGACAGTGAGAAAGTCGAAGGATTTCTGTGTGTTTTTTGTTTGAATCCGGTACCTGTAGACCCTTCTGGCCTGGTTGAAGAGACACACTGACACTAGCCAATCCCAGCTGACAGTGGGTGAGAGGCGGGGTCCACCCTGGACAGGTCGCCGGTTTATAGCAGGGAGGACATGTAGACAAACAACCACGGACAATATAGAGTCATCAGTCACCCTAAGCTACATGTCTTTGTACTGTGGGAAGCTGGAGAGACAGATAGCTGGAAAATTTATTGGGTAATGTATATTGTTAAGGGCAGCTCATGAAATATATAGTTTTCAAGTGAAGTCAGTTTTTTGGGCTGCGAGTTTTCATTATAGGTTAATTTGATTATTTTCCTTATTTATCAAGTGTCTGGTCTATAAAATGTAAAAACTGAAAATTCCACTTTCAGTTCTCTAAAACCTGCTTTGAAATTGTTTTCTAACATAAAAAAGGAACAGATTCATTTTACTATCACGTGACAATGAAAAACAAGACAGCAATTTTTTTGTTGTAAATTTAGTAAAGGTAATTGATTATAAAAATTTGTGCATAATTTTCTGTTAATCAACCAATTTTATGTAGCACATATATTTGTGTCAGAAGGCTTTACAATACAAAACAACACCTTATGTTCTTAGACCCGTATTTTGGATAAGGAGCATTTCACAAACTAGCACATTTCTGCAGACCTCTTTTTGTGGTGGCTGCAGATGCATTCACATCAGATACAGCTAACTTGGGGAGGAATTCATTTTAGATTCTATTAATTAGTGCAAAATAAAATAACTACACAATTAGTCAAGCAGAACAATAATAAACCTCAACTTTAAAACACAATTGATCTCTACTAGACTAATCTTTCCTTGTGAACACAGTAGTTGGACTGTGCATTACAGAAAACAACCCAGTGGACCTGCTTGGAGCTTCCTCTCCCATAAACAATCCTGTGTTTGTTTCATGTCAGCATCAAAGACATAAAACAGCACAGCACCTGTGACGTTTCCAGCTGATGCATTCACATGCTGTTGTTCAGCTCAGCTGTTAAAACAGTCACCAGCAATATTCAGGTGGTGATTGCTGTATCCGCGGCCTCGGCGAGGCTGAACCTGTCCTCTTATGAGGCAAATACAATGTTCGCAGAAGCCTCCTGAAAGTTCTGTCATTATCAGAGAGAAGAAACATGTATCTAAATGTGTGAGTATTGTGAAGCTGTGGGTGTCTCCTCCAAAAGCCCAAGATATGGTGGAGAATATAAGTTGAAGGTTATCTGATGTACACACAGCATCCCCAGCACGCTGAGGATGGGCGATGTTAGAAAGAACACACGCTGCCACTGCTCCAGGCTTTTTTCCACCCATTGATTACCCATCTGCCACTGTCACATTTATATTTACCTCTTCCCACTGAGAGCAGCAGTTGTTGCAGTTATAATCCATACCGAAATATTAACAGCAATTATTCCTTACAGCAGCTTCTTGCTCATCATAACACCTTGACTCCTTAGTTTCATCCATCCTAAGTAGTGACAGGTTGATCCACATGTTTTCAGTCCTGACCTGTGAAGTAGGCCACGTGTTTATAGATCTGTGAGATCCTACTAAGAATAAACAGAAGTTACATAAAGTCATCTGTCACCAACCTTTCAATGATGACTCTGTGAAGTTGCACCAGGGTGGATGTTCCCCTGCTTTTTGTCTCTTTCTCCGTCCAGCAGGCCTGGGTGTGTGTGTGTGTGAGCGACAGGCTTCAAATGTACATGAACACAAGTCTGTGTGTTGAAGTCCAGAATTCCTGCCTCTTTAGCTCAGCTGTTAAAATACTCAGAGCCAACAGTCACGTGGTCAACACATGGTCTTGTTGCTTTTCATGTCTGTTTACTCAGCAGAAACTGATTTAGACTTTTAGCTGGAAGACTGTTGGCTTCAAAGTTAGGTCATCCCTCTTGCTGTGACTCTCTCAAGCATAACAAGGGTGAAAGCTGCATTTCTATGTTGTAGTTTACTGGTGAAGCTCTTCCTATGCCTTCTCATGTTTGTATGAGAAGCATCAGATAAAAATGATTTAAACCTGCAACACAGTACAAGAAATGAATCAAACTAAAGCTGCAGGTTTAATACATTCTTTTCTTTGCTAACATAACTTACTAGGTTATCTGCACATCAGCAGCAGTGTGATTTAGTTTTCTGACAGGTGCTACGTATCCTCCGACTGAGTCATCTGTGCCTTCCCAGAATGGGGACATTCAGTCAGAGAGTAGTGAGTCACAAAATATGGCTGTTGAGGAAGCAGTCTGACAAAAACTCTAGGGAGTGGGGCCAGTAATGATCAATTTATTGAATTTGAATCCAGTTAATAAGTCGAACCTGAATTCTTTTAAATCTCTGCATCAGTTTATATAGGACCTCACGTTACCAGAATCAGTGATAGTTGTTTGTACATACATAGCCAACAGGACCAGGTGTCTGTCAGACCTGTGACACCTTGCTTGTTTTAATAAAGTCCAGCCTGGACAGAAGATTATCTCTGCTCGCCCTGGATCTTGGCTCGATAATGCAGCAGGGTAGACCTCCTGAAGTGACTCCACACCCAGCCCCTCTCTGTACTGCACCAGAGTAGTGCAGCACTTATTCCAGTAACTGCTCCGTCTTCTATTCCATCTGCTCAGGGTAATAAAAATGAGGTGAGCAAGACTGTATTTATTCATTGTGGTGATAATTCACAAATAAGCATGTGAGGTGCATTTGTGTATTAACCAGAATTGTATGCATGTGTTGGGAAAGTCTGGCGTTAGCATAATAAGCTGGTTTTCATCTCCAAACAAATGTATTTTACTCTTCAGATACACAGTATATATGTAGGCTCTGTCACACGTATACTAAGAAATTAAATCTGACATAACTTCACAGTCAGCGCCTTTGCTTATATGTAATGGCCACACAAGCCCATGTAATCCAAGAAAAGTATTTTCATTATCATTTTCTCAGTACATTTCTTATTGTTTGGTCCACAATGTGAAAAATGCTGATCATACAGTCTTATGCAAAAGTTTAGGCACCCCTTGATAAATAACAGATTTTGGTGATTTTTTTATTTGAACAGATGTTAACACAGTTTCTCTTGGAAATGGAAAAAATGCACAATATTTTCTGCAAACAGTGATGCATAGTTACTTCTTATGCCATAAATTGAACAAAAATAAAAAATAAAAACATTATTATGGCATGGTGCAAAAGTTTGGGCACCCTAAGAGTTCCAGAGTCTCAAAGTCTCTCACAAGGTATCAGACCTTAATCAGCTCGTTAGATCTGATGCACAGCAACAGCTGTCATTGGTAAATGCCAATTTCAAAGCTGTACAAATACCTTGACTCTTCAAACCTTGTGCACACACTTGCGGACACCCAGCAACCATGGGTTCCTCTAAGCAGCTGGATAGATGGACCAATGGAACAGCACGAGAGGACCAGACCAGCCTACAATTGCACATTTGAATTGTATAAAATCAGCTGGGTTGAGGAGAATAGGGTTCCTCTGCTCTGAAGGCAGATTGAATTGTTTTGGTGTTGTTGATAGGGCTTCAGAGAAATGGAACCCAGAGCTCTGTAAATTGCTCTATTCAATGGTCCATTCAGTTATGATAATAAATGTTTGAAAGGTGCTATTTGAGTCCGATTAGTCTTCATAAAAGAACGCGCAGGACAGTTAAAGTCTGACATTACACAATGCATAAATAAACTATACATTTAAACTTTAAAATTGTTGATTTTGTACTTTGAACTCGCTTGTTGAATAATGTGATTAAAGACACAAACATGTTCCATGCTAGCACTTTCTCCAAGTGACACAACATTGATTTACTTTGTTTTTGTGTTCTGGAGTGTGTAGCATGAAAATGCAAATGTGAGCTGCAGTTTTGAGAGTTGCAGCCATTGGTCTTTTTAACTCCAACAAAACTGAAGCACAGAGCTATTCATTGCTCCATTTCACTACCTTAAGGAAAGTAAACAAAATGGAGGAAAAAATGATTGTGTGGTGGACAATGGATGTTGGATATAATTCACACACACTGGTATTTCTGCTCTGTTACAGATTCATAGGGTAACATGTACAGGACTGTAGTTCATGTTATGACCACTTACACACCTCCTCTGCCAGAGGAGGTGTTACTAAGTACTGATTGTGTAGGGTGCCCAAACTTTTGCACCATGCCATAATAATGTTTTTATTTTTTATTTTTGTTCAATTTATGGCATAAGAAGTAACTATGCATCACTGTTTGCAGAAAATATTGTGCATTTTTTCCATTTCCAAGAGAAACTGTGTTAACATCTGTTCAAATAAAAAAATCACCAAAATCTGTTATTTATCAAGGGGTGCCTAAACTTTTGCATAAGACTGTATATTCTAAACCCAAAGATCTTTAATTTACAGCTGTATTAAAGTGAGAAAAACAGCAACTCTTCACATTTGAGAGGTTGAAAATGGCATGTGTTTTTGTATTTTTCTTCAGAAATGAAATTGTTGATCAATTAATTGACTGTCAGTAACAATATACAAGTCAGAGGTTGATTATACTCAGTGGGACATTTTTATTAAACATCATCAACTTATCAACTCACAGTTACCATGATGTAGCCTAGCTATAGCAGTAGACCTCTGGGGATTTTCCGAGGTTGTAAAAATGAACCCTCAG